CAAGCCCACGTGGCCTCACCCCCAACCACACACACACACACACAGCCTCAGACACAGCCAACCACATGCCCCAAGATCGCACATGCAGTTGCACCCCCCATGGCTCCCATGTAGAGTCACACCTGCAGTCACACCACCTCACCCCCAGCTCTCCCCGCCCCCACCCCCACCCCCGCACCACCGAGCTCACCCACAACCACTCACCCGCAGCCCCCATGCAGCCCACGGGCTCCAAAAACCTGCCACACCCGCCCGACCCAAGCCCAGGACTCACCTACAACAGGCGCAGCTCCTCGTGCCAGGCCCATGGGTCACTTGTCGTTGGCTCCAAACATCCCACGAGAAGCTGAGTACGGGTTAGGAGTCTTCCGGGAGCCTCTGCCTGCAGGAAGGGCGTTGGCTTTCTGCTCCTTTGCCCACACGGCATCCTTTCTTTGGCCTGTAGTGTGGTCTTCGTGACTTGGTGGCAGCCTATGCGCCCCCACCGCCCTTGTTCCTGCCCCTGAAGGAAGTCTAGGAAGCTACAGGGATGTTCTGCCAAGCTCCTCACGGGGTTACCCACAAGAATTCCCACCGGGCCTTGCAGAGGGCATGTTAGGCATGTGCTGGGCAAGCCTGAGTGCCCAGTGAGCCGGGGGCCTAGCCACAGTCCCAGAGTGGCCCAAGGCCCTCTCCTGGGCCTTGGTATGGACCCTCAGCCTTTGCACCGGTGGCAGTGGTGATGTCATACCCGGTAGCAGGACCATGGATACAAGCTGTGACGCACAACAGGCCCTCCTAAAGGCTGCTTCCACGTCAGGCTGGGCAGTGGGGGACCCACTCTGTGCTCCACACTGAGCCCAACTCTCAGAGGGCTGGGAGGGAAAACAGGCATAGGATACCCCTGGAGCCTCTGCTTAGTGGACCCTCCATCTGCCCATCTGGGAAATAGGGGAAAACAGAGGGGTGGTGGGTGTGGCCACCACACCCCGTGCCCCATCCCCACCTCAGACTTGGCTCCACGGAGTCACTGAGGACTTCAGCCAAGGATGAATCTGACATGGTAGGAGCTCACAAATCACAGGGGGTGGGTGGTGGGGACATCTGAGGCAGGTCTTGTAGGCTGGCTGGCCCTGCCTGACCCATTGGTCGCATGAGAGGCTAACAACCTGGTGGTCTGAAGAAGGGAAACAGGGATCCGGGGGAAGGAAGAGGAACCTTAAAACAGACCAGGACGGCCCAGGGTCAGAGACACTGGACCTGGAGGACAGCATGAGAGGCTTACTCTCTGGCCTGCAATGTGGGGCTCCAGAGCCATACCCCAGAGAGAAGTGTGCCCTCAGGGCAGGCCCACTGGGAAGACAGAGGCAGAGAATGGGAAAGGGCAGTAGGTAGAAAAGGACCAAGAACTGAATAAGAAGGAAGGAACAGGGGAGCCTATGGCCATAGAAGCATGGGAAGGAAGCAGCATATCCCAACTCTGAAAGAACACTTAGCCCCAGGCCCAGGGAAGCGGACCTGTCTGTCCTCATTGCACCTGTCAGGAAAAGTTACTACCAACTGCCATTGTCCCAGCGGGGCCAGAGCCCACAGGGGCCCCTGCCAGCAAAGGGCAGCAGAGCACCACTCAGCCCACTGACCTCGTGACCTCTGAGTCGCAGACCCTTCCTGGGGCTACTGTGGGATCCATGGGCCACCCTGTGAAGCTCAGTCCCAGAGGTCGGCCCCAGAGGTGCTCAATATCCCAAAGAGTAGAGGCACCCTGGTGACTCACACTGCCCACCCCAGAGGCTGCCAGCAAAGATTCCGGGGCCAGGGGTGGGCAGCAGCTGAACCAAGGGCCTAGAGCGACCAGCAGCTAGACGTAGCCCACTGGAGAGAAGCAGCTGGATCCCAACTTACATCCCAAATGCCCAGGCCAAGCCTATCTTTATGAAATTTTCTTCTTTGTCCCTATTGACTGTACAGTGTCTGAAGATCGTGCAGATCAATAAATACAGTCCTCAGGAAAAAAGGCTGGTAGAGCAGTAGCTCCCTCAGATAGGCAAAGGATGGAAACAGAAGCCAGATACCACCTCCTGCCACCAGCGGGCTGTGCCTCTTGTGATATGTCCCTCCCGCTGCCTGCTGCCTCCTTCGGTTTTCCCATTGTAACCTTAACAGGGTTAGGCCAATCTGTAAGACCTTGCCTGCTCAAATGTCCTGAGATTTTCTGGGAAGACCACACGTGATCCAAAAACCAAGGAGCAACCCCAGGGCCTCAGATAAAGGCACGGCCTTAGGACTGCAGTCTTCCCAGAATAGGTGGGCCAGCTGGGACACGTGGCCTCTAGTGCCCAGCGTTCCTGTCCCAACTCTGTGACCTCAGGCAAGCTCTGAACCTCTCTGAGCCTCAGATTCCAAGCTCTGGAAAATGATGAAACCATGTCCCAAAAAAGCACGATACCCAGCAGCCCTTCGTGGGTCTGTCGAGTCCTACCTGCCATAAGGGCTGGACCTCTGTCACTACAAAAACCACCGCCACTACCTATTCCCAGTTAAATTCCCAGCAGGCAAGGACAATCAGCATACTGATGGCCTCATTTCTGTTTCACCCTCCTGTCCTAGGATCCCAGCCTCTTCTGGGTTACAGTCACCCATATTAGTGAATGGAGGTGGGTGCGGTCAGGTGGGCTTCTCCCTTCCAGGTTTTACATTTCCTTCCAGGGATGGGGGGAGCGGGCTTAACCGGCACTTTCAAGTGGTAATAGATGTGGGTCTGGTAGAACATAATTAGTCTTGGGACCGGGAGGGTAAACAAATGTGTAATTCATGAATTTGCTAATTGTCCTTCATTTTGATCTTCTGCCATCTTTCCTAGCCTCTCTGACTGACATCCGTGCTCATGGCAAGGACTCAGAGAGGGCCGGGAGCGAGCCGTGGAGGCCAGGGGCATCAAAGCTGGACACCCAGCCCACGCCTCTCCCGGCCACCGCCTCCTGCCCACGCCCTGCCCCCCCCCCGCCGTGGCTCCCCCAACACCACACAAGGCAGGAAGCCCGTGGCACTCGATCTTTTATTTTCTTAAACTGTACACAGATGTAAAATACTTTAACAGCAAGTCTATGGGAAAATTGTTTGGTTTTAAATTATTATGAAACAGAACCTAAGGGGAGCTTTATTAAATAAACATAAAGGTGGGGATTTAAGGACGCACACCTGCATTCTACCATAGTCATTTTTTTTTTCTGTACCTTCTGGGTGTGTAAAGATAGAAAAGACACATCAAACTGAATAAACAAAATCCATTTATACCCTGAAACGTTGGCAGGCCACTCAAGGGATTGTTCAGAACGTCTACCTCATAGAAGATGGCCTCACCATCTAATAAAAATTAAAACTGATCTGTTGGCCTCTTTGGTTCCAAAATTATGTATAATACATTTAACTGTATTTTTTTTTTGCTGCTATAAAAATAACTTCTTTTTTCAAATGGCAGTTTCTGACTAATCATGCAACTAAATCAGTGCAAACATTAAAAGCAATCATTCGCTTAAAAAAGAAGCAAAGGATTTCATTTCAAGTATAAAAAATATAAAAAGAGTCGTACGAGTCCAGTTTCGTCTAGTGTGGGTCAACCCTTTAAATTGCATAGTTCACGCGGCACCTGGGCCTCTGGGGGCCGAGCGAGTTCAGTGCTCTGCCAAGGGCCACTCCTGGACACACGCAGATGGGCAAGTGCAAGATCACGGGCGTTCAGGCAAGTCGGCAAGTGCTAGGAGGGGCGGGTGGGCAGGCGAGCAGGCGGGAGGCGGGGGGCACGTCCATGGTCCGCCCTGGTGGCTGGGACCCACGCGGGTAACTTCTGCAAAGCAGCTGAAAGCCTTCCCCGGCTCTCCCAGACCAGCTACACTGCTCCCCTCCCACAAACCCTACTGGGATGGGGGGAGGGCACCCCCCCTCCATGCCTACCAGCATTTCCAGAATGCCTCCACTCCACCCTTTCCTCCTCCTCTGGGCTCATTCCCTTGCCTTGGGGTCATTTCCAACCCTATCCCAACCAGTCCTGGAGGAACATCCCCAGTGAAGGGCACAGATTGCAACTTTTTTTTTCTTCCCTTGTAAAATGATTCAAATCTTAACTTAAAAGGTCCTACCTGGTAGAAAAGTCCCTTTTCAAGGATACAACTGGAACGTGTGACCTGTCTGTCAACTGCTAGTGATCAGTTAAAGCATCAAATTAAGACCCTTCTCCTCTCCCTCCCTCCCTCCCCCCAACACACACACACATATAAGTCACGCCAGGGACCCAAGCGACAGTCAAACGGTCATTGCCACAGCTCCATGGTCTCTGGCAGGTTGTGTCCATTCCGGGTCTCTTTCCCTCTACAAGGCTGGGAAAAGCCAGGCTTCCCCTGGTCCTGCAGCATGAAGGATCCCAGGCAGGGAAGGAAGCCAGCATGTCTGAGCCAGGAGATGCTGAGGCCTGGCGGGCCTTGCACACAAGCAAAGGGGGACACACAGCCCTCCTGCCTGTCCGTACATTCCCCACCCCCGCATCTGCTTTTCCTCTCTGTGGCTCTCGTGCTCCCTCTCCCTCTCTCTCTTTCTCTCTGTCTTTGTGCTTTTATGTGTGCTCCGAAGGCGCAATTCAGAATGGCCGGGCCAGCTGGTGGGAATGGTGGCTGCTCACCCCATTCTCTCCGACTGACAGGCATTTGTAGCTATGCTGCCATTTGTCACCGCATCCATTTGCTGGTATCCCGGAGGCTGCCGTGTGGGTGGCGGGACGCGTCTGGCTGTGCGCATCTACGTGTGCATTTGAAAGTATCTCGTGTCAGTTGAGCGTCCGGGCTCTGGCTTGGACTGATTTGCTCGATGAAGTAGTAGGAAAAGATTTCAGGCCTCACCCTGGCACCTGCTGGGCAGCCCGACAGAAGGACCGCACTCGGCTGGCTGGGCAGCCGGTTCCCACAGGGGCTGGAAGAAGCCCTTCCAGGGGCCCCACCCTCGTGCCCCCCCACGCCCCCTCCCCCCACGGCCGCAGCCCTGCTGCGGTCAGGCGCAGCCGCACTCCTCCACGATCATGTTGGGCACGTCCCGCTTGACGATGTTATACTCGTCGTCGAAGTAGAGCATGGACATGGTGCTCAGCTTAGTGGGGATGCAGCAGGAGTTCACCGTGCCAGGGTTGAGGCCCCGCATGCGGTACTGGTTCACCACCGCCGTGTGGAAAGACGAGGCAGAGCCAGGGACCCCTGCCAGGTAGGCAGGGCAGCTGCCCTCACAGTAGTTCCCGTAGTAGCCGGTGGGCGCGATGATCCAGTCATTCCAGCCGATGAGGCGGAAGTCGATGAAGAACTGTTGCCTGCAACAGAGGTTGGTCCGGCCATCGCACTCCAGGCCCCGCTTGCGGATGCGGTGCCTGCTGTCTCCCAGCCGGGCCTGCACCACCACGAAGGGCCGGTGCGACTCCTCGCCTGGGTCCACAAACACAGGCACCACGGCCAGCTCCGGGCAGCCGTCGCACTGCACGTCCAGGTTGAGCCGCCGCTCACCGCGCTCGAACAAGGCCTGGATGGCCTCGGTGAGAGGGAAGGTGTGCCAGCCACTGCGCTTGAGGTCCACCTTCTTCTCTACCACGTCCCACCGGTCGCCGTGGCCCTGCTCCTGGAAGTATACCTTGACCCGCACCTTCCTCCGGTTGCCCTTCTCCAGGACATAGGGCAGGAGCTTCAGGTAGAGCCACAGGCTGGCCTGCACCACAAAGAGGTTCTGGTTGCCTTCATTGGAGATGAAGAAGTACAGACGGACCCGGGAGGAGGCGAGGCCATCTGCGGAGAAGTGGGAGAGCAGGCCAAGTTAATTCAAGAAGAACACGAGGCAATGGGGAAAGACACTCAGTGGCGTGATGCTGGAATGCGAACTTGCCACACAGCTGGAAAACGTTATTGACCAGAAAGACTGTTCCTGGGGCCAGGGCCTCTGAGTGCAACCTGGGAGAGGCAGAGAAAAGCGCTTTCCATTGAGAAACACCCAACCGGCTTGGAGCTGGAGGGTCCGGGGGGGCCTCTAAAATTCTGCCTCACCTCTCCCCAGCCAGGGCTCCCTGGAGACAGGCTGTCAGGCCTCAAAGCTCAACAGAGGAACTTGTCAGGGGGCCAAGATCTTAACAAGTTGTTATGGGTATCTGTGAAATCTGAAAAACAAAACCAGGATCGTGAGGATTTGGGGGTGGGTTGTGTCTGGAGAGAGGTTGGGGTTTTGTTTTTTGTTTTTTGTTTTTTTTTTTGTTTTTTTTTTTTTTTTTTTTTTTGGTTAACTCAGGGCATTGCAAAATCGAGCTGAGCCACCTACCGCCTCTTCCTAGTGTTTACCTAAGCATGATCTGATCCAACCCCCAGTGGAACCTCCACGGCAAACAAGCGAGCTCTGCTCAGATTTCTGACACAAGAACGTGCTTTGCAGGCTGCAAAGTGCAGCCCTCGCTTCTGACAATTTCCAAGTTTCAGCCTTGAAACTTGAGGTCCACTCTGTTTGGGAGACGCTGGCTCCCCATAAAGGGCAGGTTAATATCGTCAAGGAAAAGGGGGAACTGCCTTGTTAGTTTCCTTCATAATTCCGCTCAACAAGAAGAGAGGCCATGCCAACCTAGACACAACTACTCTCTCATGATACATTTCAGTGACTTCTGGCAATCTGTACTTTTTTCTTCTTCTTCCTCTCCCCCCCCCAGGAAGAACAAATAAGGCAACTGTGTGACCATGGCTAGTTTTATCAAACCTCCTACCACTGCCTTGCAGCCCCCTCCTCAGGCCTCGCCTGGCTCCTCTAATAACACTGACATCTGACTTTGAAATGGGGGAAAGTGCAGCCTTAAAAGCTGGTCTTGGACGAGCTGCCTGTGACCTGAATCTGTTATTTATAAGTCAAAGAGCTGGCTCCGTGAAACGGACCAGAAATACACCAGCCCCCGCTGTCATTTTGTGCCACCGGGACCAAAAGGCCTTCTCGACCTTCCAGAATCACATTTCTACTCTGGGCCCCAAAGCACCTTTTAATCCAAGCTCTCTAATTGCATGTAGAGCTTTCCCTGACTCGGTCGGACAGCTAAAACAGCAATGCATTTCTTTCTAAGCACAAACCAGCCGGATTGTCTCTGCTTTTCTCCACACCCGGCCATGCAAAACTTTTCATCCCTTTTCATCCCCAGGCGGCACCAGGACCGTCTGCCTGCTGCCTGGGAGGATGGGGGGCATTTTCAGCCTGGTGACACAAGCGTGTCCCCCCCCCCCACACAAGCCCCCTGCCCCCCCCCCCCCCTGCCCGCACCAGGGCTTCCCCCTCTGCGACCTTCTCCGCAGTCCCCTCCGCACAAATGGGGCTGAGCTCCAGGCACAAAAGCCAGCCTGGCTCATTCAAGTCCTGAAAAGGACAGCGGAGTGGAAAGCACTTGCAGCATTTCAGCGCGGGCACATTTTCCTCCTTCTTTTAAAGTTCTGAAAGATTTTCTGTCTCTCGATTATTATATTTAGACAGCGGTAGAAATTTGCAATCCGGGGCCGGGAGAAAATTCCAGAAAGGACTCCTACCCTTTGTTAACTACGAACTCTGCGGCTCTCAGGCGAGGGGGCTGCTACCGCTGCCAGGAGAGCCGAGAGGCACCGGGCTGCCCCCCGAACCGAGCCGCGTCTTTCTCTGCGTAAATGATGGGACCTGTTGAGAAGCCTGCCTTCCGCCCGATTCCGGTGCCCACACAATCGGAAGAGAGGTTGCCTAGCTCTCCCCAGTGAGGCTTCAGCAATCCTGGCAAGCCCACGCTGCCCGGCGATGGAAGCGGCCCTGGGGCCTCTCACACAGGCGCGCGCGCGCGCGCGCGCGCGTACACACACACACACACACACACACACACACACACTTCTCCGGCCCACGGATATCAACAAGCACACACATCTCCAACCACACTGCTAAGCCTACACTCCGATCGTGGGAAACAAAAACATTAAGCAATCACCAAGCAAGTGCCCGCGGAGCCAGGGCCGCACGCATCTGCCGGGAGGGGGATGCACGCCCAGAGGCGCTGGGGCCGGGTTTCAGAGAGCCGGGGTGGAGGGCAAGGCGTTCAGCGACGGGGACGGGGGAGCAGGAAGAGGTATGCTGCCGGGGGGTGGTGGAAGGCGGGTAAGAAGACGGCAACCAGGACGGGGCGCACAGGGCCAGAGGGGAGCGGCAGGGCCGAGAGCCCGCGTTGCCCCCAGGGTGCGCTGGCTGGGGCGGCCGGACGGGCAAGGAGAAGGGGGTGGGAGAGGGTGAAGAGGGGGTGGGGAGCGAGGGCCGCAGCTGGCCGCCCGTGGGACCAACCCACCTGTCTCGGCGAAGCTGATGATCTCCGAGACGCGCTCCTGGCCATCTGCGCCCGGGCTGGCGTGGCCGTCGAGGTGCGGGATCTCCACACGGCCGTCTTCGCGCACCTTGCCCGCGTGCAGCTTGCGCAGGGCAGTGACCATGGCGGCCTTGGGCACGGCATGCGTGATGTTGGGCCGGCCCCGCATCTGCAGGCGGCTCAAGATGTGCCGCTTCACCGCCTCCAGGAAGTCCCCGTCCACCCGGCCCAGCTCCTCCGGCCGCCGGAAGCCGCCGCACGACGTGCAGGTGTCCTGCGAGCCACCGGGGGCTCCGGGCGGCGGGGGCGGTGGCGGCGCGGCAGGCGACGGAGGGGGCGTGGGCGAGCCCCAGGCCTCGGGCCCCAGCCAGCCGGCCGCCAGCAGCAAAAGGCAGGCGGCCCCCAGCGCCCGACCGGGCAGCCCGTCCATGGTGCGCCGCTGGCGACGAGGGCGCCCGCCGCGAGGCGAGCCGAGCCGAGGCAGGGCCGGGCTCCGGGCTCCCGGCGCGCCGCCCCGCCCCGCCCCCGCCCGCGCCCGCCCGGGCCTCCGCCCGCCCGCCGGGAGGGCCGCCGCCGGCTAGCAGGGGGAGGGGGCCGGCCGGGCCGCGGGGGTTCCCGCGCGGCGGGGAAGGGGCGCCGAGGGCCGCGGGGGCCGGAGAGGCGCGCCGGCGAGGAGGGGGCCGGAGGGTCACTGCCGCGCGGGCGTCTCAGGGCGCCTCGGCATCTGCAGCCTTCCCCCCATCCTCTCCGGGTCGGGGCCCCGCAGCCCCCAGCTCCGTTGAAGCGAAAGCGGCGACAGCGGCGCCTCGGCCGCCGCGCGGGGAAGGTGGCGAAAGGGCCGGTCGACGCAACTTGGCCGAGACGGAAGCGAAGGCGCCGGAGTCCCCGGAGCGGAGCCGGGCGCGGCTTGGCGCGGCTTGGCGCGGCGCTGCGGCGGGCGCTGCGGCGGGGCCCCGCGCTGGCACCTGAGCGCCGAAGAAGGGCCGCGGCCGCCGGCGACGGGCCGGTAGTCCTCGCCTCGGGCCGGCGTGCGGGCGGCGGAGCGGAGCGAGCGCAGTGGCGGGAGCGCCGGGGAGCGCTGGCCGCGCGGGCCCGCTCAGAGGCGGCGCGGAGCCCCCGGCCGCGGGCCCTGCAGTCCTCCCGGCGCGTCACACGGCAAAGTTGTCTCTAGGCTCCCGGGGCGCCGCATCCACCCGCGGGCGGGCCGGCCGCTGCGCGCTCCGCCGGGGCCTCAGCTCCGCCCGCCTTCTCGCTGCCTCCCTCCCACCGCCTGCCTGCGCGGGCCGGCTGGGCGCGGGGCGCCGTGCGAGGAAGGCAAGGTGGAGCTGGGCCCTTCTCGCCCCTCTCTCTCCTGCCTGCTGCAGCGGCGGCGAGGTCGGTTGAAGCGTCTAAAAGTCTCGCAGCGTTCCCGGGTGCGGGTGCCCTAGCTCGCTCTCCCACTGGCACACGCCGCAGGGCCGAGAGAGAGCGGGAGGGTGGCGGCCGCGTCCCTGCGCCCGGCCGCGACACAGTGCAGAGCCTGCCGAGGAGTTCTTCTCTTTGCCCTCTCTTCTTTTACTCTCCTCGTTTTCTCTCCCAAGGGGGGAAAAAAAAGCTGTACAATCTCCGTATGTGCGCGCGCGTTGAGATAGACGTTGGCATAAAAAAAAGGGGGGGTGAGCTAGTCTCCTCGTCCTGGCCATGCGGGAGGAGACTGTCCGTGCCTCCCCGCTCCGGCTGCCCCCCCGGGGGGGGGGCGGAATCTGTTCAAGTCGCTGCCTCCCGCTCCCCACGCCCACCCCCGCTTCCCCCCGCTTTTTTCCTTTCTGCCTTCGCTGGAAGGAGGGGCGAGCCGGCCCGCTCCCCTCCCCCCCCCCCCCCCCGCAATGCCCGGCCACTTTTGCTGTCTCGAAACTTTCCCACCACGTGGGAGCCCCGGACCCTCGCCTAGCTGGGTGGCGGGCGACACCAACGGGCTCCCGGCCCAGGATCCCGGTGCTTGCCCGCTCCCCGCGATCGCGCAGGCCCTGCCCTCGCCCCTGCCCCCGCCCTCGGCGACCGGGAGAAGCAACTCGCCGCCGCGGCCGCCCCCGTCCCTGCCGGGGTGCACCTTCTCGAGCTTCGCGAGGCGGGGGCGGCGGTGCGGCCGCGGGCTGGCTCCGCGGGTGGATGTCGCTCCCGGGCTGCAGTGCCCTAGCCAAGCGCCCCGGGCCGCCCGAGCACTGAACGAGGCGTGGGCCCCCGCGGGCTGGAGGGGTAGAGGAGGCGGTGGCCGTTGGAGGCCTGGCCAGCCGCAGCCTCTGCCGGCTCCAAGTCCCAGGAAAATCCTCGACTGTGTGGGGAACCGGCCTCGCGGCATGAAGGCCTCTGAGCCCCAGAACTTGCGGGGCTGACGAGGTCTCCGGCATCACTGCCTCCCTGCCCCAAGTAGTCCATTCTGGTCTCAGACAAACCCGGGTTCCAGTGGACTCTCAGCCACTGTCAGCCTTGTAGGAGGGACCTTGGGGCGTCTTCACCCTCTCTGGTCTTTATCTCGTCACCTGTCATGGGGGAGGACAGTAACACCTGTGTCACACCTTGGGAGCTCCAGACGAGTTATGTTGGTCACGCTCCTCACAGAATCCTGTACACTGTGATTCTAAGGCATAGTTTTTTGGGTGGCCCATACCAAGCGACCATGTCAGTGAACACGGAACACCCAACCCATCCAGAACCCCAAGGGCTGCGGTTCCTTCTGTCCTTCCTTACGCCCCCACCTGGGCGCAGAGTAGCACGACAGTGCCCACAGGGTGCAGCACCCTGAGGCCAAGGAACACCATGCTGCCCCATCCCCTTACTGCCCAGACCCCCACCCACTCAGCAGGCAAGACTGTGAGGAGGAAGCAGAATGGGAGGTCATTCTGGCTTTCCCAGGACCTGGGGGAACTTAAGCTGGAATGTGGCGTCCAGCTTAGCATTCCCCACACTCCCTGAGCTAGGAAGCTTCAGGCGGCAGCAAGCTTCAGGCCGGCTCCTGCCTCTGCGGAGCTCAGCCAGGACTGCAGCCCCGCTGAGGCCTGCAAGTCTGGAGGCCGAGCGCCCCCTCCCTCCCAACCCGAGGAACCGACCTGAAGGTGCTTGGCCGTGTGGGACGACATTGGACCTGATACAGGAAGTCAGAAGCAGGGTCCCAGGAGGGTCCCCACAATGGCAGCCCTTCTGCCTCTTTGGAGCTGTTTCCAGAGCCCAGCTCTCTGCTGTTCCCATCCACACAGCATGCTCTGGCCTCTGGTTCCATCTCCTTTGCAGTCCCCCCAGCCCATGGAGGCTGTGGTCTCTGGGCAGGAAGGAGGTGCTTCGGCACTGCAGGACTCTGAACCAGGCTGCCCCCACCTCTGCGGCTTTGCTTGCCTCTCCACCAGGCACACAAGCTCTGGTTCTCTGGGTCTTTCCATCACCACAGCCACCAACCGCTTGGTGCACTCCTTCTGTCTTGAAGACCCAGCCCCATCTCTCCTCCTTGGTGAAGCTCACCATGGCCCTCTTGTGCCCTGAAGAGTTATTTGCCATATTAGGCTCCTCGCCCCAGTGCCTGGCTGTTATCCCTTTACCTATCTGTCTCTTTTGTGGGACCTGGACTCCTGGATGACAAGGACCAGGTCTCGTGGGTTGCATCTGATGCCAAATCAAGGGCAGCTTATTGAACTCATGCTTGGTTGATTGAATGAGTGAATGAATGAATGAATGAATGAACGAAGGAATAAGTCCTTAAGCCAGTAAAGAATTAAGCACCCCGCACTCCCCAGTACCCTCACAACAGCCGTCCTTGCCTGTCTGGCTCCCACCGTTCTCACTGTGAGCCTCACTGGGGCTGGATAGGGCTGAGTGGGAGGGGGGGCTCCACACCTTTGGGAAGATCCAGCGTCCTACTCATTGAGCGGGCTCTGGGAGGGGCAGAAGTCACCTCATCCTTGCTAGTAAGAGGAGGGAAGAGGAGGTTGAGAGGAGGGTCCACACTTTGCTGGCCTGGTGGAGAGCTGTCAGCCCCGCTGTCAGTCATCTGCTGGGAGGGAACTGGGTCAAGCGGTAGTCAGAAACCATCTGCTCCAGAAGCTGGGATTATCCCGCCCTCTGCTGATCCCCCAGCCCACAGGAGCCAAGGGTGTAAATTGAGTTCTTCCAGATCACCTTGTGCTTGTGGGGGGAGGAGCCCCCCATCTCCTACTGAGGGGCAAGGACCTGTTTCTGTTGCTTCAAAGCCTCTTTTAACACTGGGCTCTGTCCTCCTTGAATGGTGACCTCAGCCTTCAGTCCCAGCCAGAGGTGTGACCATGCCTGTCAGTTTTGAATGCAATAACACACATCAGTGTTCTAGCCAGTGCCCTCCTGCAGGATCAAGTCACTCCCCTCCCAGAACACACACTACCACAGAATGCTGGCTCCCTGCCACCAACGAGGAGCTCGGGCCCCATGGGGAAGGCAGGAAGAAAACATGGCAGCGTCATGGAGCCGGGCACACAAAACCTGAGAGGGCTTCCTCTAGGAGGTGCAGGCATGTGCTCTCACGAGTCTGTTTGGGTTAGTTCTTTTGCATAAGTCACAGTTAAGTGTCAATTGGGGGATACTGAAAATGTTCACAAGTGACAAAGGAAACCATAAATAAGCCTCAGAGCACATTTGCTAAAAGGGAACCCAGGTGCAGCCCTTGCATGGCCCCCCCCAGCGTGTGGGATGAAGAGAAAGCCCTCATACCAGTGGCACTGGGGACGTGGGCTGAAAAGAGGCCTTTGGCGCATTTGGGCTGGGGGACATGCTGGTCACTTTCCCAGCGCTGGCCGGGGAGCCCCTGTGGCCAGACGTCACTGACCCACAACACAGCTCTCCAGAGTGGCTCAGTGTCTGAATGGAAGGAGCCTCGGGGCTGGACCAGACGAGATGTTCTGTCCACCTGGCAGTTCAAGACATGGGTGAGGAACAAACCTGGAGCCGGCGGCTGAAGCAGGACACTGCCATGGGGGCCCCCAAAGGGACAGGAGCCAAGCTGACCTTCGGAAAAACTCAGACACCAGCATGGTGCCCCTGAGAATACACTCCCCCATCTGCCCCACTGAGGCTACCTCATGCTTTCAAGGTCACAGAAGCAAGTCCTTGACAAGAGAGAGGGTGGGGAAAGGTGATTTTGAGGCAACAGCCCTGTACTTCTCACCAGAGCCACTGGATGGCGCCCACCTTTGGGGACCCCAGCAGGTATACACCCGCTTACATTCTGCTGTGGCCTGGGGAGGAATGCTTGTCACCTCTGAAACATGAGCTCCAGGGCTGAGGCCATCTGTGCCCTTCATCTGTAGCTGCCCGGCACCCAGCACAGCCCAACTCTTGGACTGCTGACAAACTAAAGTCAGTTCATCCCACATAACTGAGGAAGGCGCCGGGGCTCAGGAAACGTCGTCTGATCAGTGGGCCTGGAGTTAA